CCCCAAAACCCCAAAACCCCAAAACCCCATTAGTATTAAAATTTATTGAGTAAGGTTTAAGTGTGTGGATTTTAGGGGATTGAGGGGTTAATCTTGGGAAATTCCGATGGAGTTTATTGTGGAGGATCTGAGGGGGAATTTGGGGATTTGGTATAGGCCGATCCATATTAGGGATTTTTGGAGGGGAGAATGGCAGATTTTGGTGAGGATGTTTTTCCATGATTTGGGTTGGAATTTGGTGGTGGTTAGTTTGCATTCACAGAAAGAAAGATGCTCTATTTGGGGGTCTAAAGAAGAATTTTGGAATATTTTTACCTCTGATTAAAGAGAGATGGGCAAAATCTTCTTGCTTAAACTGAAATCTTGTAAATCTGATAATTTTGCATGTTCTTAATCCAAATAATAATCTTTCAAAATGTTTCTTGCTACAAAATCAATATGAGTGACTTACTCTGAATTAAGAGAAATCAAAGAACGGGATGTTATACAAACCATCTGAGTCACTGGTGAAACAAACTTTATAAATTTGTTCAATACTGAGCTTGATAAATTAGAAGTTTGAGCTCTTGCCTTTTTGTCTCCCTTAATTTAAATTAATTTAATAACTTTGACAGAAATTTTGAATATTAACCATTTCCTTACTAAATAGAATTCAAGGTAGCCATAATTCTTGAAGCAGATTCATTCCAAAACTCTTTTTAGATCCTTAGTCTTATGTTCAGAGTAAAAGTTTATTTTCACTTTTATTAAGGCAGGGATAGATTCTCTAAAACACTACATTACTGAAATTACGCTGCAATATAGTCCGGTTTGAGCTGAACAAACCTATTTAAGCCACACTCTTGACTCACCAAGGATACTCTATATCCCCAATCAGCTCCCTTAAATCAACCAACCAACTATAACCACCCCCTCCAATCCCTAAACCCCTACCCCTCCTTACATTCTCTCTGCTCCCTTCCCACACGTCAGTCTCTAAACCGTCAGCCCACCTTTACACTCACCCACTGCCTCCACTGCTCTACCACCCTCCTCTGCACCTCCACTTCTCTTTCATACCTACTCTGCTCCTCTCCATTCCTCACCCACTCTCCTTCCTGGTCAAGTACAACTTCTGGTTCTTTACCTAAAGGCCTAGTTTAGTCACATTTTTGTAAAATTTTGTGGTAAACTAATGGTACCTAGTTTTGTGTGCTGAGATCCCATTTTTTTAGTAATTTTATAGTACAAATTTTGGGGTTTTGGGGTTTTGGGGTTTTGGGGTTTTGGGG